CCTGCCACCCTGCTGCCTCCACCGTGCTCTGCTAGCTGGGAGTTGACGATGGGACACTGTGGAGAGGACTAATAGCCAAAAGCATTAGAGAGAGACATATTTTTCATCATCTGTCCATTCAGAGATCAGCAGCCCTTTCCCTCCTGCTATAATGTCATGTATACTAACGCCTTTACTGCTTCTCTTATTCATCTTAGACTAAATGTTTCATCTGTGGGATTGGCAATGACTATTTTGACACAACTCCTCATGGCTTTGAAACACATACCTTGCAGGAGCACAACTTAGCCAACTATTTGTGAGTATCCGTGGTCAACAGAGGGGACAGTGGCTGGGGGAAGGAGCTGCAGAGTAAAATACACAGTTATGTCATAGGGTTCCCCCCTGTACATGCCATTTCTGCCTGTTTCTCTGAAAAAGTAGCGGCAGTTAGGAAAAAACTTCAAGGCGTCTCGATGAGCTTGCCTCTTTGTCCATATTCCCTGCCTTTCCGGGCTTTGACAGACGGGTGCTATGGGCTTTCCCTGCACCTCACAAAGGTCAGCCCATGCACCTGCGATGAGACCCCATGCCTTCCTCACGTCCCATAACTACAGCAATTTCTTTCTCTACCAGATTTATCCTGTCACCAAACAAGTGTTATTTTTTTTTATCCTAAACAAAGAACAGAGCCTGCCGCCCCATTTACTTCCAGCTCTTGCCCTGCTTTCTTTCCCTTCCAGTAAAACTTAAAGTGTCTGTGCTTACTGTCTTCGATTCTTCTCTTCCCATTCTCCTTTGAACTCAGCCCAGTCAGGCCCCTCTCCACCACGTCACACTTGCTCCTATTGAGGTGGTCCACGAGCTGCCTGTTGCAGGGTGCTGTGGTCACTTTGCAGGCCTCACCCCACCTGTCCTCTCCTGGGAACATATAAGCTCCAGGAGAGCGGGATAGTTGTGGGACATGGGTGTTTCATACCACTGTATCCTAGCACATGGGGGAGAAGTCCTTGGCCCCCAGAAGGTGCTAATAAGCATTTCACTTGTTCTGAGGTCAAGCCGTCACTCAGAAACAAGTTATTCAGAGCCCATTTTGTACCCTATGAAGCTTCTATCTTAAAGAGACTCTGAATGGGCAGGTAATCTATATTCTTTGTAAGTGATCATTTTCAAGAAAAGGGAAAAAGCTGCTCCCCAGCCCATGTCTTCCCTTCTGGGTCTACATTTTATTATTTAGGAAAAACCAATCTTTAGGATAGAACAGGCCTAGCCTTTGGGAAAGTTATTATTGTCAAAAAGAAGTACCAAAGACCTATCATTTTGCTAGAATACCTTATATACTAGAAGACAAAAACACAAATTAAAAAAAAAATTTAATATATCCTTCCTCAAGTCGTGAGTATTCATCACTGTTAACTCTCATGAAGAGACAGCTTTGAGCAGTGGCAGTATCGTAGCCAATGAGGTTTATCCGAGGCGCAATTATTGCTAATTGAAAACTCTCATGAAGAGAGTTTCCATGTTAATGGAGGCAATCAAAATGGATGTCCTTCTAGAAAAGGTGAGCACCTGGCCCTTTGTCAGGACCTGTGAGTAGAGAAATGTGAAAGGGTGTTGTGATGATGTCCCCCTTCGACATCCTCCCTTGGCACTACGTATTATAATAATCTCCCTTCTGGCTCTCTGCACTGTTAGCAGCATGCTGGAGAAGAGAGAACCCATCTTGTTCATATTTAAAACTCCCCCTAAAAATGGTGCTTTGTCAAATAAATGTGCCAGGAACTAAAGTCTTCCATCCCCGAGTCTCGAACATGATAAAGCTATTGGGCATGCGGTCTTCTTAGTCTGCTAAAAGGAAAAGGAAGGAAGGAATGAAATCTTTTTATCGCTGCTGAAGCTGCAGATCTAAGGAGACCCTGAGAGAATTTGAAGTCTGGAGCTCAGGCTCTCCCCGTCCCCAGTCCTGTCTTTGAGGGCACAAGATGGGCTCCTTTGAAAGTGGTCTCTGAGATCCTGCAGTGTGAGCTGAAAGACCAGCCCCGGCTTCCATGGATACTCGGGTGAACCAGATGAACAGACTCGAACCCTAGCCCCACCACCGTTAGCACAAGTGACACTACACTGGCATTTCTCAGACGTCTACAATAAAAAACTCTTTCTAGAGGAGAACAGCTTAATGAGGTTACATGCTTTCTACCTTTTCCATGATCTGTCCTTGAGAAACAATTTTAGTTCTACGTTCAGCCATTAAAAATCATATGGTAAGAGTCTTGGTTACCCTTTCATTGTTTAGGATTTTTTTTGAGAGAGAAAGAGCACATGGTGGTGGGGGATAGGGCAGAAGGGGGGGGGCAGGGGGTATTAAACTGGCTCCGTGCCCAGTGCCGAGCCCCACATGAGGTTTGATCCCAGGTCCCTGAGATCATGACCTGAACCCAAACCAAGTCAGACATTCAACTGACTGAGCCACCCAGGTGCCCCCAGTTAGGATTTTTTAAAAAGGCAGCCAAAATTCTTCTCACAAGTAATGGTAAAATTTCTCCTCACAAAAAGACTAACCAAAGTAATATTGTCTTTTTCTCACTTAAATAATTCTCCAGGTTCTTCCTGATGTACCTGATTAATAAAGATGAGACCGAACACACGGGTCAGGTGAGAAAATCTCTTAAGACTCGTACCACTTTTAGAAGTCTTCAGACTCAACAAAACATAGGATGTCTGAAGTAGATAGATGACTTCATTCGTTTCCAGTGTACATTCTTCCTCTGCCTAATTCTGCTATCCCTTTGCGACCTAAGAAGCCAATATCCTCAGGCACCTCTAGTCTCTTCCTAAACACTTTATCTGTCCCAACAACGCTGACATTTTCTAAACCCTTACGGTTACTGCTTTAGAGTAGAATAGCTGGAGGTAGGGAGAACATTACAGACAAAAAGACAAGGAGGAGCTGAGTGGGTGGCTCTAACAAAGAGAGTAAAATGGCGTGAGAGACAGCCGGAGAAAGATAACCACCTCATGTGTGGGTGACACAGGGAATGTGGAGGTGTGGGTAGTATGAGTGAAAGTATGTGTCAAAAGGGATTCTGTGACTAAGTTTGAGAAACAAATGCCAAGACAAGAGACTAAAGGGAAGAAAAGGTAGGTTATCTAATACTCAAACATTATCAGATTGTAGGAAAACTTCACAGCTCAGACACTTGAGAGGCAACTGGTTCTAGATCTCCCTTCAGTGCTCCAGGCATCTGCCCCCACTAGCACTCACTATCCCTTCATTGTGTGTTCTTCTGCATTCTACCAATTACAAATGGCATAGAATCAGCCTCCTAGTATATCTTTCAGCATTTTTACTCGCAGTCATTGCATTGTGTTCAGTGTTTTGAGTTTTGGGGGGAGGGGAGTGGGGGTGGGGAATGACTTTTTGCTCCTAAACTAGCTTGGACTGGGAGCAGAGCAAGGAAGAAGGTACAAGGTTGGGCCCCGCCACCATTCTCCAAGGGAGACCTACTAAGTAAACACCACCTGGGTTTTAGCTTACTGCAGTTTAAAAAGAAGTACCCTTTGTTTCCCTTATTTCAGGAATCTTACGTCTGGAAGATGTACCAAGAAAGGTGTTGGGATTTCTTCCCGGCTGGTGACTGCTTTCGGAAACAATATGAAGATCAGCTTGGGTAAATCAGAATGAAAGAAACCCCACAATTCTAGATGGTCTACTTCCAGTGAAATAAATCCTTTTTATAGTTCTGCAAAATATTTGAAATGTGACATATTCTAAATGCCTCCCTTACGAGAAAGTGTTACAAACATGTGATATTTTGGAATTGATTTGGCTTTTTGTGCCTAATGGATGTAGTCCTAGGGGAGACAACCTATCAAAATGTTAAAAGATGGCAAAGAATCAAGGAAACTGCAGTTGAGAATACCTTCAAGTTTTCAGCATAATGGAAAAATGGTGTCATTGAGGAAAGAACTAGAAGTATGAAGTCTTCAACGCACAATACCTGAAATTTTACACACTTGAATGTCACATGACAGTATCCACTAGTGACTCATGGTCTGAACTACAAAAAAAAATCATTTTAACTGCAAATTTCTCCCATGGTACTTGCTAGTGAATGTATTCAGAATCAGCTTGAAAAGCTTTAAGCAGTTAAAAGAAATAGAAAAAAAAAAAAACCAACCAACCAACCCTTTGTCGACACTGAACTATCGATTAAGTGCCTTAAAATCTCTTTAGATATAGCTATGCAAATTTTTTATGTTTCCGTTTCAGACGGACAGTTCCATTAATGGGTTGTGTTGATCTTCTGTCTTTATGAAACTGCACTTGAAGGTTATTGCTATGGTTTTGGTTTTTTTTTTCCAGTAACAGCTTGTCAACTGCTGTTATTAGAAGTACTGTATTGAAAATTCAGAAAAATGTCACTCTTATGCCAAACTGAGTACTGCTTTATGGTTCCCTTGTAAGTAGTGGAGCTGCTGTGTTTAGGTGAATCTCCTTATGTCAAAGGAAGTGCCCACTGCAATAAAGTACCACGTACCAATCTGTGGTGTCGGCCTCTGGTGATGTACCTCTTCTGGATGATTCCACGGCCGTCCTGTAATTACTAGAAAAGGGGCATGGGACAAAGAGCCTTACCCCCCCACCCCCAAGAAAGAAAGGAATGCTATAGAGCAGCGTTCGTTTATTTTGGCCAAATGCATGCCTTGTTGCTATCCATCAGCAGCACCTGCTCTGCTGTAAACACTGAAAGGAAGGAGGCTGGAAACAAGAGCCGTAACATCCCCTGCCCTCAAGGACTCTGGGAGATCGCTAAGCCAGAGAGCGGATGCAGCGAGCCTTGTAGATGGGTAGTCCCGAGTGCCGTGGAACATAGAGGTAGGCGTTCCCTGCGGCAAGCGTGATGGAACACCCTGGCTCAGCAAGCAGCTGTTCTGGAAGGACAGCTGGGGCCCGCCCTTACTGACAAGGCAACCAAAATTTGCGTCAGGCACTTTTTTTTTTTGTTTTGTTTTCTTTTTCGTTTTTTTTCTTTTTTCTTTTCCTTTTAGGTTAGGAAATCATGCTGTCCAACCAGTCTTCAAGCTCCTCCTCAGTAACAGTTTTCGATGTATTTGGTTGCTCAGACCGCACGTTCTTTTCTCCCATCACAGATAGCTCGGCAGGACCTGGGGAGATAAAAGCAGTGTTAGCGACTTCACATTAGTCCCAGAACTGAGGGTTAAGGCTTCCTTTGGATTTGTTCCGTGATGGAATTCAGCTCTGATTACATAACAGGAAACATTCTATTATGGCTTCAACTCTTCAAGAAGATACAGTAATAGCTAAACAAATTAATAATTGGGGGGGGGGAGACTTGCTCCTCTGTTTATTCTGAAGTTGAATGTCCCAGTTCACTAAGTTTTCTAAAAAGACCAACAGATTAGTTTTCTTTTTACTATTGTAGCACTCCTGGAAAGTCCTTACAGGTTCTCAAATGCAGGTGTGGACGGGGCACATGTCCACCTTGGCCTCTCCATAGCAGCTGGCCCATGGTCTCACAGAGCACGCACAAAGGGCGAAGTGCTCTTTTGTACAAAAATAAGACAGAAATAGCAAGCCACAAGTCCTGCTCAGACAGTCGATTAAAAGGTCTGCTGCAGCACAGCTGAGGGCAATGAGGATCTGCACGCCTCTCTCCAGCGCCGGGTCCATCTGCTGCCCTGGGTTTAATATCGCAGTCGGGCAGGGAGCACCCTGCGAGCCTGCTGTATTGAGTGAGGAATGTTGTCAGAAAGGTCAGCTCAGGGGGAAGCGGTGATGTGAGCCCAGAAATAGATGTCGGCAGACAACACCAGATCGATGGCAGACGCTGCTGGAGAGGGGTACGGACGGGATGCCAGTGGGGCTGTGGGCACAAAAGGTGAGAAGATGGATAGGGAATAAAATGAAAGCCATACCTTGTTCTTCTTGGGCCACCTCCCCATCTTTCTCAGATTCTTGGGCCTGCACGGTCTGGACTGGTACAGTGTTCTCTCCCTCTCTTACAGGTGCATCTAAACTAAGCAGCAGATCTAATTCTTCCTCCAAGTGGTCTGCTGCCGCCTCCAGGGGGGCGGTGGGTTTCTGAGGTCCCATGGAGGGAGCCGGGCTGGGGCCATCTTTACCCAGGTACATGGGGCAGCCAGCAGCGGCAGATTTCAGCTCAGAGGTGGAGCCCTTTCCTCTGGGCCCCAAGGGCCCTTTTAACTGCATCCCCAGTCCCTTGCCTTCATCATTTCTCTTTGGTTTCACCTGAGGAAGCTCTAAAGGAAGGGTGGTCTGAAAGAGAAGCAATATAATGCAGGTAAAAATCTGAGTCCTGCCCTATTTGCTTACACAGAAACAAAAACGACAGAAGCCAAACTTGATGGAAGAGGAAATTCAGACAGGAAGGTCACAAAGGGTTCCCCCAGTTCAGGCCTTGCCCTAGAACCCTTCCTTATTGAGCTGGGGTAAATGGGGGAGACCTCACTGAAACACCACAGGGCTGTGCCTCCCCTCTGCCCACTCCCGCCTCTCTGCACAATGGCAGAGTAGACACCACAAGGGCATGTCTTTCTGTAATTGCCGTGGGAACTGGCAGTACCCCAGGTCTATTTGAATGTACACAGGTGTACATCTGTGAGGAGATAAACATCTGTAAAAGGCACCCAGAAGTAATTAGCAAATCAGATCATTCACTGTACTTAAATGCACTGATAATAAAGTCATCTAGAATGACCCGTAGTACATTTGAGTAAAATAAGGGGAAGGAAGTAGTTTAAAACTAGCCAGGTTTTCAAAGTTACTAAAATTAATCTATACTTTTATTCTCAGGCCTGCCATTGACAGGACATCCTCAGTTTTCTCCCTGAGGCCCCATCACCTTCATTGTGCTGTACTGGGCTAACCCAGCCCCATTCTGCGGGGAATGCACCCCAGCCGCACGTGTCCTGGCCACCCAGCGGGGACAGCAGCACTCTCCCCATCACTAATAAAACCCCAAACAGCCCAAACATGCATGGAGCTCCGTGGTGACTCAATCAGAGACAAATGCCATCCTCTCTACTTCCCTGCCCTGCCATTAAGCCCAGCCCTGAATTCTGCTTGCTGCCCTAAACCGGGGGTCAGTCAGGGCCACAGAAACAAGAGCTGGGTAGGTAACCAATTCATGTGGCTGCTCAAGTGTTGTGACACATTCAGTCGCAGAACGAAGCTGACCGCTTCAGTTGCTGGGATTCTCTTTACAATTAGTACGGCTCAGGGTTTCACTTTTTTAAAAATGCAATCTGAGCCACAACTACATTGTGAGGTGCCTGTCTTATGGTCTGTTGGGCCTCCCCCTCTCTGCTCATTCATCAGTTGCTATCTTACACTGAGGTCTCCTACATTTATGCTTCTAGCCCTTCCTTCTCATCTATAGATTTCCGTATCCAACTCCTACTTCCACTTCGATATCTCAGAGGCACAGACCCATCACATCCAAACCTCTCCTTTCCTGATACCCCCAGCGCTGAGTTGCACAAGCTGCAAGGCCGAGAACAATACTTTACTTGTCGCTCTCCCATTTCCAGTATTTCCCAAGCCCTGCTTATTTTCCTTTTGAAGTACATCTTGGTCAAGTCCAATTCTCTGCCATCTCCACCCCAGTCTTACCTACACCATCACCCTGGCCTGCAGCAGCAGCCTCCTAGTTTGCTTGCCCTGACCCGCTCTCCACTGGCGTGTACACGCCTGTGTACATCTGCCAACACACATTCTGCCAACTCCATTCTGCAGCCAGAATGGTCCTGCGTATCATCATCATGAGCAGTAGTGTTAAGGCAGAGCTGATTGGGTCACTCTTCTCTAAATTCTCATTCACGTGCTTTTATACTCTGGATCTCGGCTCATCTGACAGTCCTTCAGGAAAGCCATTCCTAAGCACACCAGAATAGATCAGGTTCATTATTATAGATTCTCATAGCACAGTACACTCCTTCATGGGACTTTCCACAATTGGAGAACTTGATCAATACTCCTATTTCCCAATAGATTAAGTGCTGGGAGATCAAGAACAATGTCTGATCACCACTGACTACTTAGTGCTAATGCAGAGCCTGGCACATCAATTTTTGAGCAAAAAACCAGCCAGACTTCATTCTTTCACATTTCATTCAATCCTTCAAAATGTTTCACATGTAAAATGTAAAAAAAAAAAAAAAGACTAAAAATTATTTCATTTCCCCCTTAAAACTCTGAAAAATGCTACCCTGATACAAAAGCCTCAGCTTTGGGGAAGGAAGAGGTGTTGTGAGCCATCCTGCACAGTGACAGTTTTCACTCTTCTTCATATGCTCTAACCCGCACCCACAGGCAGATGCTGTCGAGGTTTTTACCTGGACCAATTCGGCAGCAACATTGAGTCGGAGTGAGAGAGGCAGCTCTTGAAGGGCTCGAACCAGTGACTCACAGTCCACATAAAATGCTGAATTCTATTAACAAAAAATTATATGCATTGTCAGGTGACCAGTACAAAGGACCATTCAGAGATAAAAGAGCAGAAGATGACGGAAGGAAATAAACCATCCACTGACATTACATTCAGTGGAGAGTAAGTCCTATCATAGGCCCCATTTGATATGGTTGCTATTTTCTATCATGGCGTTAAGATGAGCAAAACCGAAGCCACATTCTGGAGCGACAGTTCACACTGTGAGAGCAGGAACAGGGCAGTGATAACCCCCACCCTGAGACTGCACAATAACCTGGAAACTACAGATGCTTCTAAAATTACAGGCAAATTGAAAAATAAGCATTTAAGGGGATCAAAGTGGACGGACCCCTCCCTCTAATTCAGACAGCCAGCCTTCAGGAGAGGAGAGAAGAGCCATTAAGCAGGGAGACGGGGCTGATTGGCTCAGCCCAAGGAGCCTGTGTTCGAGGCTTCTGTTCTAACCAGAAAGCAGGAGGCAGACTTGCCCGCTAGCTAGCGCCGCTCTGTGGGGACAACACCGAAAGCTTCCCTTGACTCCTCTCCCATTCATGGAAATCCAGACGTATCCTGGCAATGACCTCCCAAATTGACAGTAGCTGAGGAAACATTCCCGATTATTTCATGGCTTGACAACAGTCTGATGGCTACTTTCTGGGGCCCAGGCCACCCAAGAGAACAAATAACCCAAAGAGGCAGATACTGCTAACCACCTCGTTCTACCAGAGCCCTCCCAGGCCCAGCTGGAAACAGCTCACTGCAGCGTCCCTGGCTTCAAGTTAGAAGAGAAGTCAGGGCCCACCTAGTCGGTCTGGATTCCACTGCAGCAGTGTCTGGGACATCCTGGGTAATGCGTTCACTGTGGGTGGGGACAGTGAGCTCAAGAAGAGCCTGACCCTAATCCAGACCCACTGTAACCCCTGATGCCCACAGCAGCCACTGCTGTGTCCTCGCACGGGCTGCAAGAGATGGTGTGGCTGTTCACCTGCCCTTCAGAAACAGTGCCAAGATGGCTGGCTCTTAGCTACGCCATGTTGGCAGCACCAGATAGGCCCTGGTTCTGGAAAAAAGGAACTCCCTTCTAAAACACACAGTGTATTTAGGGAGCAGGATAGAGGCTGGTAAAGCCCTGACAAGAAAACCAGAAATTCAGTGTGCATTCCAGGCCTTTCCTCAGCCCTGCACTTATTAGTACCTTAAGGGCTGTGGTCAGACCAGTGTGGCCAAGTCTTCATTTTCAAGTTTGGAGAAACTCTCTCCAGCTGGTAGAAAGTGTGATCCCAAATGCTTAACCCATGGGTATGTCGTCACATCACACACTGGAAATCTCACCCTCCCCAACGCCCACAGAGCTGCACACAAGCAGACCCCCGCCTTTCAGCCAATGAAAGAGCAGGAACTTCACCCCTGCCATGCGTGCCCACCATTCACCAGCTGCTCTCTTAGCGCCCCAGACAGGAGGACCGTGGAGGCGTACAGGGGGTCTGGCTAAAAGTGGCCACGCTTCCTCTGCCCTCTTTAGCACCATGTGCAACATGACTACATGGTATAGCCACAACAATGAAAAGTAGGGGTGCCGGGGGTGGGGTTCAGTTGGTTAAGTGTCTGCCTTCAGCTCAGGTCGTGATCCTGGCGTCCTGGGATCGAGGCCCCTACCAGGCTCTCTGCTTGGCAGGGAGCCTGCTTCTCCCTCTCCCTCTGCCTGCCGCTCTGCCTACTTGTGCGTGCTCTCTCTTTCTCTCTCTGTGTCAAATAAAAAGGGACTGGCCACGCTGTGCTTCTGAGCCATGTGCCGGATGATGGACATCTAGCGGTGTCTGCTCCTGGAAGGTCTCCTTCCCCCACCTTTCTAATTCCCGCCCACCATCCAAGGCCCTGCTGACACTGCAGGGCCTCCACGATGCTGTAGAGACACTTCAAACCAGCAGGGGAGGTGCAGGAGTCCTGGAGCCTAGAACCTGCCACCAAATGCCACTTTGGAAGAGGACTCCTTTTCTCAGCACCAGTCTTTCCCACAAAGGGCTAAAGCTAAGGTCTAACATAAAAGGAGTGGAGGTAAAATGCTTGTAATAGTAAAGTGTGAATTTAAAAATAGGCTTCATTGGAATAACAACCACAAATTAGCTTTTTGCTGTGTCTTAAAATAACGGAGAGATTATTTTGTTTTTTGCCTGGAGAGGCTAGTCCCCATATCTACCAGGCCAACTCTGACGGTCACTCACAGTTGGAGCTCACAGCCTGCCCCTGATGCCTTCCCCCTGCATACTCATGCCGGCTGTGGGAAGCCAGCCTTGACTGTTAGAACAAAGTCCCACCCCATTCTCTGAGGTCAGTGTGCACAGAACTGTGGGTAGTGAAAACCTGTCCCCTCTGTCCAGGAACCTTACTACTTACTAGACTCCGAGTCTCAGTGTCTGTGTCAGACAAAGAACCTGCTAGAAAGTCCACTGTGCAGCTGAAGAAAAAATAGCCTTTGATCAGACCATTATACCTTCCAAAATTTTTATCACCTTTCTCGCTCTCAAGTAAGCAAAACCAGAACCTAGTGAGGAGTTAAGTGGGACATGAACAGGTTTTGATGGGTAAGTGATGAATTTTAGTTTTGGATGGGTCCTACCCACACATCAACTCAAAATATTCAGAGTAAACTTGCCCTCTCTGTAGCCCATCAATGGCATCACCACCCACCTAATCATCAAGCTAGAAAGCTTTGCGCCACCACACATCTTTCTTGTCCGCATGTCTCACATGTGACACAGTCTAGTTCGTCCTCTGCTGAAAGCCATCTATCAATGAACCATCCTCCACTCCCACTTCCTCGTGCTCCCAGGCCCTCATCCCTTCGTGTTCACCTAAAATCATATCCTCCTAACTGGTTTCCCTGCCTCCTGCCTCTTCCCTCTTCAATCCCTCTTTCCCAGTACTGCTCAGGTCAAATCTAGCCATTTCCATTTTCTGTCCAAACAAAACTTTAATGAAAAAATAAGAGTAGGAATAAGAGCTACTTCTGAGTGTTTCATATGTGTCAGGAACTGCACAAAAGAGCTTTTATTTATTATTTAATGTAATCCTCATTATAACCCCAAGTTATATCTTTATATCTTATTATTAGTTCCATTTTACAGATGAGAACACAAGAAAAGGAAAGAAGTTCACCCAAGTCACAGAACTCAGATTCACAGTCCAGCTTGTCTCTCCAAGATCTATGCTCTCACCCACATGCTAAACATCCCCCTAGAAGAAGATCAGACTGCTGGTAATACCCAGCCCAGACTTACCCCTGAAGCCTCCTTCTCCGGGAACACTACAGTCCCAACTATATCCTGACTCCGAGCATGCCTGGTCTTTCAGCTCTCCTCACTTAACAGGACCTCCAGCATCACACTGACCCACCAAGGCCCATTCAGACTCTGTCTTTCCCGTGGTACTGATCTCAATCCCTTCCAGCCCAAAGTGGCCCCCACAGTAGTATCTTAATTCATTTATGACACCACTTATTTTATGTCACACTCTTTTTCATTTATTATGTAAATATTTACTGGTCACCTACTATATGTTAGTGGCCATGCTAAGGGCAATGAACAAGCACAGTCTCTGTCTTATTCACCTTTGAATAAGTTCCAACTAATAAAATACCTAGTAAATAAGTTCTCCGTATTCTGATGCGTGAAGAACTTTAGAACTATCTGAAACTCTCAGGATAGCTGAAATATTCTCTAATAGTCAATGTGGTTCAAAAGGAGTTGAAATGTGAGTTGTCTGGCTTTTGCTGTATTCCTTGATGACTTCTGTTTCCTTGCAATTTGTCTTAGAATTCTAAACTGTACCTCAGGCATATGCCCACACAGACTGAAGCAAAGACAAGTATTTTTAATGCCCTATTTTTTCCATGTTGTAATACACACTCTACGGTGACATAGTCATTTCACAAGTAATTTCCCACCCCCTTGGTCTGTATGGTAAGCCAATGTCCATCCCAAACGAGTACATAGAAGACCACCCCAGAAAGAAAAGGACCCACTTATGGTGTGTGTGTACTGAACGGGTAGCAGAATGGGGAAGAGGATGCCCTACCTTTGGGCTTCAGGTCTGTTACTCGGTCACGTGTCTGAAACTGTGGACAGATTGTCAGATTATTGTATGAGACAGCAGGTGCTAGCTGTGGAGTTGGGGAGCAGATGACAAGCCACCACTGATTCTCAGTGCTTTTTAAAAAGGTTAGAATACCTGTCATCTCTCCTATGGAAAGAATCCGTCAAATCACAGTTAGAAAATAATCGAAACTCCTTGGGGAAAAAGTATGGCATGAACACAAAGCAAATGAGGTAGCTGGGCTTTATGGCATCACTGAAAGACTTCTGTGGTATTTGTTCTTACTTTATCGCTTTATTCTCCTAACTATAGAGGAAGAGTTATTTAAAGGTATAAAATTAAGGATTTTTTTCACCTAATACCAAAAACAGTGTGAGGGGGGAAAATTAATTTTCAACCCTAAGGGAAACTCTTCACAGAAAGGAAAAAGGAAGGCAGGCCAAATGGCAAAGTAGTCCACTCAAAATCATGACTATACACTATGAGTAATTCACATAGGTGGCCAGTTACACAGGTGAATTCTAGCTCCAAAGACCTGTATAATTTAAGCTCCTGAAAATGGTCTTAACAATTGAGATGACTGAGACTAAACTGTACATGAATCACTACTCTTTTCTACCCCAAGACTTTATCTCAACAGTAACATAAAGGCATTTGTCTTCAGCCTTGAAAGAGCCAATCCACAGTCAAGACAAACCATCTTACCTGTTTTGGACATGAAGCTTCACCATCCCACTCTTTCTCTTCAACAAACCGGAACTGTGAGAAGGAATCCCCTAGGGATAGAAAAAAAAAAATAATAATAATTTTACACAAAAGCCAAAGAAAAACACTCAGTTCTCTAAATTTCTGCTTGGGAATAAAAGTGCCATTTCCAAGGAGCAAAGCATTTAATAGAAGTTCCTGGCTTCCACTTCTTTACACAGCAATCTGGGCCTGGTGGGCACCTGAAAATTCTGTTGGCTTCACACGATTCTCTTTAAGCCACCATCTACATGCTTCTGGAGAGATGACTCAAGAGGCTTGTAGACATGGCCATCTACTCATATTTAGTACATTTTCATCTCATCTGCTTAGTGTATGCAAGGAAACAGATATTTATGATGTGGGGAGTGGGCACAGCTGAAAAGGCAGAAGAACAGAAGGAAAGAAGGTCTAGGCTGACCCACATTAGAACAGGCTTAAACTATCTCTTTGAAGTGAGATTATCAACCTCGAACATCACCCCCAAAGTCGCCTGGTTAGAATGTCAAATGCAAAATAAAACTCAAAGAATATGCATGAGATTAGGTACACTGTTCTGAGCTCTTGGAATAAAGGAAAACGAACCTGTAAGATCAGCATAAACAATCATGAAAGACGACCCTGGACAGCAAGCTTCGACCCAATGCTCATTTAGTAAATGCATACTTACTTGGTAATTTGTCTTAAGAACACCTAATTGATAAAGAATTATTTCTCTGCCTAGCTTCAGGATTCCCCAAATGTGGTCCCAACCTCAATAACCCCAGTTTAATTCCTATTTCTTCCGACCTTCTGCCTGAGCCAGCCTCCTATCACATTCCAAACATACTTCCTATTCCATCCTAGCCGCTCCTCTTTCTCAGTCCTTCCCGCTTGTCCGGAAGACCCACACTCATCTACCCATTTCTTATTGTAGTTATGCTCCAAGACTCGGTTCAGGGATGCTTCCTCCTTTGTGATATCTCTCAGGGGATTTAACCATAGAATCCATTCTTCTAAATTAAGAGAGGGACAAAGAAGTGAAGAATTCAAATTTCAAGAGACAAAGATAAAATTAGAATCTATACCACCCCCCTCATTTCCAAAACACATGGATCACAATATGAACATTTGGCAAGATCAAATTCAAGGTGAAAGGGACCAAGAACAACAGTACTATCAGGAAAAGGGGTAAAATTAACACTCTTAGTCATTGGTGAATCAATTTGATCCCTCAAACATTATGACATAAAGGATCTGAATAATTAATAAGGCCTTATATGTGCACAGAATACAGAAGTATATACGTGCATGTATGTATCGTGATTATAACTGTATTTCTTTATTTCTTTATAAATATCTGTGCAATATTCATTTTTCCTTTTCTTTTTTTTTTTTTTGGATTTTATTTATTTATTTGGCAGAGCAAGAGAGCACAAGCAGGGAGAGCAGCAGGCGGAGGGAGCGGGAAAAGCAGGCTCCCCACAAGGGAGCCCGATGCGGGGTTCGATCCCAGGACAGTGGGATCATGACCTGAGCCGAAGGCAGAAACTTAACAATCTGTGCCTCCTAGATGCCCCACAATACTTGTTTTTTAAAAGAGCTATAAAAAGGCCATAGGAAAAAAACTCAATAAATCCTAAAATGTAGCAGTCATACAAACCATATTTGCTGGTGATAAACATTTATACCACTAATAAGCAAAGGGTTAATATCTCCTAAGTACAAAAAGCTTCTGCAAATCAACCAGAATAAAACCACCCAATAGAAAAAGGGGAAAAGGACTGAAAATAAGAAATGCCATTTGCTAATATCTATATACGAAATAAGTAATAAATGAATAAATTAGAAATCAATCTGGTAGATTTTTAAAACTTGGCCAAATACCTGAATACCTTATTCAGTGTTATTTTTAGCATCCCTGAACTTTCTTTTGGCCCCAATACAAGACTTGAACTCATGACCCTGAGAACAAGATCTGAGCTGAGATCAAGAGTTGGATGCTTATCCTATTGAGACACACAGGCGCCCCATGGCATTCCTGAACTTCTAGATTATAAATGGTGCTATGACTGCATAGGCCACTATAATATATAATCAGCACAAGATTAACAGTAATGCAAACAAGGGATGCTACATGTATTTATTTTTAATATTTGAATATTCACTTTCAAATATAGGTAAGATTCCAACAATGGCTAAATAGCTTGTTGCCAACCAATCCTCTTGCTGAGGAACAACTTAGGGACACTAGGCTGAAAAGAGTTACCAGGTGAGAACACGAGTGAGAAAGGTCCCAGAAAGAAGAGATGCTAACAATATTTAAAACAATATTTAAAACTGCTTTTTCCCTCCGAGGCATTTGTTCATTCCCAAAGGCGCTATTGAGAAACTGAAAATCTGAGCACACAGTAAGAACTGAGGAGGTTGTGAAGATACAGAAGCCTCTGCTAGTTTTAAGGCACAGAGCAGACAAAAATTGCTGGTCAGGGCCCAAGGATGAGGAAGAGTTGTGGAAAATCGAGGCTTTCAGGTGGGACCCCTTTTGACTCCATCTTTGAAGTGAGGACCAAGTAGGACAAAGCCAGCCCCCACACAGCCTGAGGCAAAGCTGTAAATCATTTTAACCTCTGATTCTGCCAATGAGAAGCAAAAGTATACCCTTTTTGGAGGGAAAGGACATTATCTAGCCTAAAATTATCTCTACTATTTTTTATAACCAATGTCTAAAATTCATTAAAAATCATCAGGAGATGAGACCAAGGTAACAGAAAACTAAGGGAAGGGGAGGAAAAAAAACTATAAAAAGATCCACAGAGATTAAGATAGTAGAGTTATCAGACATGGCTTTTGTAATTGAGCAATGTAAAAATTTCAAGAATAGGAAAATCTATAAAATCACAATGACATCCATGAAGTTCTCTTTGATTCATACAAAATATATACATAAACAATACAAAGAAGAAAATGATTGAGGAAAATGAGATACCGAAAACACATTTTGTTTACAGTAACCAAACTTCAAAATACAGTTTTAAAATTCTAATAAATAAATCATATAGAGGCTAACTCAGAAAAATAAGCTTGCTAAAATTTTAGACGGCTACAGAATGCCAATGTCTCTAATCCTGTTACTGAAGATGAAAGAGTATTCAGACTTGTCCAAATGATGAGTCCTGGCATCAAGAGTGCTTCTGCGAAACAAGTTATCAGAATTCTTCCTGAATTATACTGAAACATGCGCAAAAACAATGGTGCTCCTCCTCTATCCTGTGTGTCAGACATATGAACATGCAGACCTCCTTTAAATACAACAGCACAGTACATAAACAGTGCATGCAATCCTGCTCCTGCTTTACTCTCTCGCTCAAGAGCTCCCAGTCTCTCACACAAACATGGTGAGTCCACATGAAGAAGTACAGAATAGAAACCAGGGCACAGTGACTGCCGACTGTGGTAGACAATGGAACAAACATGGGAAGGGTGTCTTAGGAGTCACACTCACCAGCTCTGTGTTCACAAGGTAATTACGGGGCAGTGTAACAAACAGAACGAGAAACCATAAAAGGAGTACTATACTTTCTTCCTTCTTCAAAGACCAATTTCATGAGTTACAAGACGTTGTGGAACTGCCCTGTATACTCACATGATACCCTCAAACAAGACGAAGAGCTAGTTCCTGCTATACAGGCCGTTTGAACAGCAACGTCAACAAAAATCCCAGGATAGTCTACTTTGCAGATAAGCATACCAAAATAGCAGACCAGTTAAATCCAATGATTCCTTATTAAGAATGTAATTTATCCACTAAAATTTGCTAAATAAGGGGAGGCACATTTAAACAAAGCGGGTAAGACTTCGAGCATTCACATTTTTCTTACCTATAAAAAGTCTCCTATCCTTCTATTCGGAAACAATGCTGAAGTTAGTGTACACGAATGAAAGCGAAGACGCAAGTGGAACTGAAACAATTCTGTTACATCTTGAAAGTCAATGACATGGCTGCCAGAGTTTTAGACCCAAAAGTAGTGAGAGAATTTTTTTCAATCGACTAATTGTGTGAGGCAGCAAAAATGTTAAAAGTTAGATATATGCATTGGCAGCAATCTTCAGCATGCTTCTGAAAATATTTAGAAAGGATGTTTCAAGCAGCACCCAATGCTTCCATTTCTGGGATTCCTTCAGTCAAACTCCTGGTCATCACGCAAATCTCCAAGGCCAGTGGTTAATGAGGAGAGAGATCTTTACCTATTCTTAACCTAGTCTTTACCTAGTTATTATTGGAGAGGGCAAGGTTAATTGCCAAGGGACAGCTTACTATCAGCAGTACCGGACTCTGTAGTAGAGTACAGTGAGCACAGGATCAATCTAACAGCAGGCAGCGGGGGTGAAAGGAAAAGGCCTATATGCTGTCAAAATTAAAGCTGACTACTAAAAGCTTTTGTTAAAAACTGTCAAGTTCTATTGAAATTTTAAATTTTTTTTTGTATTCCAGACATCCATTCTATGACTGATACTTACTTTTAGTTTCAGCTAAATATGACTAAACACTTGACCATTTGGCCAAAATGTATACTTAGTATGCCTCCAATATTCAATCAGTGATGTTCTATGAGGCATTTAGAAATAAGGTAGCTTATGTAATGTACAGCATGGTGACTATAATTTCTAATACCATATTGCACAATTCAAAGTTGCTAAGAGATCTTAAAAGTTCTCAACACAAGAAAAAAAATGTGTAACTATGAATGATAACAGATGTTAAGTAGACTTGTGGGGATCGTTTTACAATATTTACAAATATTGAGTTGTTATGTTGTACACCTGAAATTAATATGGTGTTATATGTCAATTATATCTCAATTAAAAAAAAAAGGTAGCTTTAGACATACTGACATGGAAAGATTATCTCAACTGTTACATGTTGGAAATACCAAGTTTTAGTGCAGTATAAATAAGATATATAGATATATGCACACACATAAATACATATACTATATATACACATACATATATGTGTGTATCTGTCACATATGTCACATAAGAATACTAA